CCCCCCCCCCAATTTTTTGTATTTGTATTTGTATTTTTATTCTAGATGGAAAATACAACTGATGCGTATCAAAGCGTTCTATCGGGCTCCGGTAATTCGATTCATCTATAACACAGTAAGTTTGCCACAAATTACATCTCATTCCGTCCATCTCACACAGATTTTCTATCTGTTTTTCCTGCTGCTTTTCAGTTGGACTTTACTCACCGGGTTGACATTGAGCTTCAACTATTTCGAATTATTTCTCGTACTCATGGTGGTCTCGTTTCTGTCGGAAGAGCTGAAACAGGTAAATGATTGCATCTGGTCACCTTGAAGTTTCCATGTGATGTAACAACAAAGACAGTGTGCACACGTATCAACCGTTCCTTATCTTATAAATACCTGACGCATAGTACGGAGAGGAACATCACGCGCAAATAATTCACAAATTACAATCTGTTTATGCTTCTCCCGAGCGAGAAATACTTTTTTATCACCACATTTTTATGACATTTGTTTTTCAATCCTCTCAGAATTTTGATTTCCATTGTTTGTGTGAGTCTATTTTTCGAACTTTTCAACAAATCCCGCTGACTATTGGGTTTACCTTATGGAGTGAGAAGACTTGTTCTCAGAATCAAATAGAGGTGCGTCTTTCCCTCACTCCAGCGCGTAACTTTGTTTTCGTCACACGGTTGGACAGGTACGAGATATCTGTGATCAGTCACCAAGGTGAATTGTTACTAACGCAACACTGGCGAAATATGGTCGGAATTGAGTATGCGACAGGATGTCCACTGTGGACGGATACACAGGACGGCCGAATGTGAATTGAGCCTCGGGACGGGATGAAACCATTCATGAACTGGAAGTTCTCTGTGGGCAGGGTTAATTGACAACCCATAATGGAGGAGAAATACAAACACTATGAAACCAAAGGTTCCGTGAAACAATAATACAACTCATATGTAAAATGAAAGGCACGTTGCCAAGGGTGTTACATTGACTGGACCAGAGGACAATACCTCAATACTCTTCGGTGGATCTCCAGGTAACAATGCACTTGTGATCTCGCCGAGGGTCTTTACAAGCAATCTTCAAATTTCAAAAATGGAACAATATGAACGATAAACTTCCAGTTTTTTAAGTAATAATCGAATTAAGTGATTAGTATGGTCTACCGATCAGCGGATTCTTACAATATTCAAAAATGGACGGGACAACTTGAAGCAGATAAGTGGATCTAACACTGTAACAGAAAAATTGGAGTATTGTTTGACCACTAAATCACAGACTTTTATAAAACTGTGACTTCGTTGTTTCAGATTATCTGATTCCTTCTATTATTACGTTCCAATTTACCTACTACACAGGTCGTTTGACCCGGGTCTTGTGAAATTATCACACACACCATGAGACACGCATATTTGACGATCCCCTCAAATCAGCTCCACCGCACATGCACACAGCGGTCACCTCGCGGGGTTTTGTATAACAATTTACCGTTTCTAACGGTATTGTCACGGATTAAGAACTGATACTGTGTGCGTATTACTTTGCTTTCTTTTTGATTCAATCCGGAAGACGCAGAATCCATCTTCTCATCGTGAACATGTTTTTTAAGTAGAAGTTTCCTTTTAGGACGAGAGAATCACTTTTATTGCATGTGGATGAATAATTAACGTCCCGAGACTCGAACCTCGTCACTTTGGTGTTAGTCAGCTTCGAGTTCATCTGTTCCCATGTCACCTCGATCCCACCTGGGTCCGATAAATGGTTGACCTAGTTTGACTAACTCCTTGCAAGGGAGAAGCCAGTTTAGTGAAAATAATAAAGTCTCACCATAACGTGCTTCAAAACACACTCCCAACATCGCCTTGTTCGCGGTCATACCTCCAGCCTTTGAATAATCATGTGTGAACTGCAACTCAGCAAAGTATTTGTTCATGATTTCCGGTCGCTTCTTAGGACCTCACTTGTGAATCGATAATTTCGGATCCCTGCTAGCTGAATAGATCTTCCATACAACAGTCGCAATATGCAATAATTCTTATTCGCCTATATCAGTCTCCGTATGTCGTGCGTCATCCCACCGAGAATTTTCGGTATCGGTTCACTTCAGGATTGTTTATCCCGTTCTGCTCAAGCGGTTTGTCGATGCGTGACAAAGTAGTATGAAAGTTACAGTGTTGATTCTTCTCCTCAGAATCATTTTGTGTTCTTTCGACTCATTGCGCACTCTATTCCTTTCTATTTGTCCCGTTGACATTCGTTTCATTCTGGTTATCGACTTCTTACATAATGAGAACACAAATTGGCAAACAAGCTCGTTTTCAGTGTGTCTTAATCATGCCATTACAACACAATAAAAGTGACTAGTATCAAAGAAGGATTTACAAAGAAAAAGAG